TATCTTCAGCAAATTTAGGTTTTCCGTTTGGGCTCTTGGTATCTGTCTTTGTTTGCTTTCAACATCAGTCTTAGCTTAATGAATTCATACTACGCACAGTTAATTTCATTCCCAAAGAGGAGTCAGGTATAAAGCGAAATTTAATTTAATTTTGAATTATAGTACATTCTCCTGTGCAGCATTTATTAACTACAGAATGTATAGAGAATTTCTGAAATAAGTGGCAGTTCAAGGGCACAGAAATATTTTTGGTATATTTTCCTTTGTTTTGATAAAGATATGTTTCTCATTCTGTGTGTAGACTGAGTATTTCAGTAGTAAAGCAAAATGGTGGATAAGTACAACAGTAAAAAGATGTGTTGTTTTTATGGTACTGACGGTGAAACCTTAAGTTACATATCCGTGGATGCCTCAAAGGAACAAGACTTTGTCCTGTTATTTTAAGACTGTTAAGGAAATGCAGAAAGAGGAAATGATCCAGGCTATATGATGTAATTTATTCTATTTTCATTGTTTAAAGTTCAAAGGATTTACCGCTGTAAGAAGAATGTATGCAAAAGTGGCAACTGCAGGAACAAATATTTTTCCCACCTCTGATTTTTAGGCCAAATGCTGTTCACTGCACACAACCAAACAGGGTGGATTTGATTTAAATCATGATTTAAATCACTGGTCAGGAAGACTCATTTTAATTATGGATTTCTACATAAAAGTGCATTCTTGTTGGTTACCACCAACCTGAAGATCCTGCATGTTCAGACATGTTCCTTTCATCATCTTCAGTGCAGCTTCCTCCTGAGAAGGAACACTTCTCGTGATGTTGTTTCATTCGGGAAACCAGGCCTTGCACTTCTTTGTTGCACTGTTTGCATTTTGCAAGCATGCCTGTCTTACCCACAGGTAGAGGAACTTTATTAAAATATTCCCAAACTGGGTCTCTTTTATGGCCTGCTGCGATTATAGGTTTTCCCTTCTAGTGAGAGAATGGTATGGTAGATCTCAAATCAATGAAGGCTACACTCAGAAAGACCTCAAGACTTCTGGAATATGCTGTTCAAACAGTTTCACTTTTGTTTCTGATGCCTGTCCCTTCTGTCTCACATTTATCTCCAGACTTCTTGTCCTTGTCAAGATCTATTCTGTCCCCAACAATCTTCTATTCATTGAACTTTTTGAAACTTTGCACTTTTAGAGAGAGGTAAGGGATTGACTCTGTCTACACAAATTTGCAGAGGGTTGAGGTCTGTTATTTTATTTATTTATTTATTTTAACACATTTTTGCTGTTAACAAGCATGTTATCTCTGGAGACACAAAGCCACAGTTTGAGAATTGCAAAACTAAGCATCTCTGATGGTATCTTCTAGACTGAACACTGAGTCCAGTTGGGTCGATAGAAAAATTAACCTAAATAATCTACACAGAAGGCCCTGGAACCCCATAAGATTGGGTCCCTAATCCATTAACTGTTAGAACTCATTTACAAAACTTTTCTTAAATATTACATGAATATATTGTCTCATACTGTAGAATTAGAATTTATAATCCCTATTCCATGATGAGATATCTTTGAGCTATAATATATCTTCATTAAAACTATCTTTAGATAGGTTTTTTCCTCAGAAAGCATTTTATCAAAAAAACCAGATTTAAATTAAAAAAATCAGATTTTTTTTATTTAAAATAAATAATCATTGATTTTTATCCATCCTGCCACCAAAGTTACGGGGCTATGCCCTGGTTAGATCTTCTGCAGTCTAAACAGGAGGAAGGAATTCATCTTCCAGGCCACATGGTGGCCACTACGATTTCCTCTATAGCAACAGGGAGTACCTCCTATGAGGGAACCCGCGAAGAATATATATGTAGTGGTTGATATGCTGGCCCCCTCCTCTGATTTGCTGTTGCTTTGTCTACAAAAGTACCTTCTATGCTGAGGTGCAGCGCCCATATGGAACTCTACTCCATTTTGTTTGGGGGCTCTTGGTCCCTCTATTGCTTTACCTTCTCTTCCCCCTCTTAAATATCTCAGTTGTATTTTATTTTTCTGGGTCTTAGAAATTAACAGAATTTTTTTACCCGTGTTCCACATCAGTGAAATCAGTACCTGATTTAATTATAATTTCTGCAGAGTCTTACAACTGAGTGTCTTCAGATGATGCCAGGTCACAATTGCTGCTCCATTCTATACTCAAAGCTCTATAGTTTTCAAATACATATATTGCATACAACAAAAATTCCATTTAAATTGCTTTTAAAAGTTTCCCTTTTGTTGGAGTATTGAAAAGGCAATGTTAATGTGTATAGAAACTAAAATTTTATTTAAAACAAAGATTTCTTGCCTAAATACATTTGGGTATTTGCCACTTAAAAAAACAAAATGTAGTACTTGCAAATGAAATCAAGCTCTGATAGATCAGTATAATATAGTTTAAATTAGGCAGTCAATTAATTGCAGTTAACTCATGAGATTAACTCAAAAAATTAATTGTGATTAATTGCAGTTTTAATCGCACTGTTAAACAATAGAATACCAATTGAAATTTATTAAATATTTTTGGATTTTTTTCTACATTTTCCAATATATTGATTTCTATTACAACACAGTATACAAAGTAGGCAGTGCTCACTTTATGTTGTTGTTTTTTATTACAAATATTTGCACTGTAAAAATGGCAAACAAAAGAAATAGTATTATTCAATTCACCAATAAGTACTGTACAAGTACTGTAGTGCAATCTCTTTATGGTGAAAGAGCAACTTACAAATGTAGATATTTTTGTTATATAACTGCACTTAAAAACAAAACAATGCAAAACTTTAGAGCATACAAGTCCACTCAGTCGTATTTCTTGTTCAGCCAATCACTAAGACAAACAATTTTTTTTACTTTTATGGGAGATAATGCTACACACTTCTTATTTACAGTGTCACCTAAAGTGAGAACAGGCATTCACATAGCACTTTTGTAGCTGGCATTGCAAGGTATTTCCGTACCAGATATGCTAAACATTTGTATGCCCCTTCATGCTTCGGCCACCATTCCAGGGGACATGCTTCCATGCTGATGATGCTCATTAAATAAATAATGCTGTCAGGGTTCCTTCCCCACTCTGAACTCTAGGGTACAGATGTGGGGACCCTCATGAAAGACCCCCTAAGCTTATTCTTACCAGTTTAGTTTAAAAACTTCTTCAAGGTACAAACTTTGCCTTGTCCTTGAACAGTATGCTGCCTCCACCAAGCATTTTAAACAAAGAACAGGGAAAGAGACCACTTGGAGACGTCTCCAAAATGTCCCCCCAAGGCCTACACACCCCCTTTCCTGGGGAGGCTTGAGAATAATATCCTAACCAATTTGTTACAAAATCATCAAAGACCCAAACCCTAGATCTTGGAACAATGGAAAAATCAGTCAGGTTCTTAAAAAAAGAATTTTATTAAAAAAAAAAAGGTAAAAATAATCTCTGTAAAATCAGGATAGAAAATACTTTACAGGGTATTCAGATTCAAAACACAGAGGATCCCCCTCTGGGCAAAACCTTAAAGTTACAGAAAACAGGAATAAACCTCCCTCTTAACACAGGGAAAATTCACATAAAATAAAAGATAAACTAATCCGCCTTGCCTGGTTTACCTATACTGGTTGCAATATTGGAGACTTGGATTAGGATGGGTTGGAGAAAATGGATTTCTGTCTGGCCTCTCTCAGTCCCAAGAGAGAACAACCACATAAACAAAGAGCACAAAACAAAAGCCTCCGCCCCCCCCACCACCCCCCCCCGCCGCCCTGAAGATTTGAAAGTATCTTGTTCCCTTATTGGTCCTTTGGGTCAGGTGCCAGCCAGGTTAGCTGAGCTCCTTAACCCTTCACAGGTAACAGGATGTTGCCTCTGGCCAGGAGGGATTTTATAGCACTGTATACAGAAAGGTGGTTACCTTCCCTTTATATTTATGACAAATGCATTAATTAAATTTGTGGCCGAACTCCTTGGGGGAGAATTGTATGTCTCCTACTCTGTTTTACCTGCATTCTGCCATATATATTTCATGTTATAGCAGTCTCGGATAATGACCCAGCACATGTTGTTTCTTTTAACAACACTTCCAGTGCAGATTTGACAAAATGCAAAGAAGGTACCAATGTGAGATTTCTAAAGATAGCTACAGCACTCGATCCAAGGTTTAAGAATCTGAAGTGCCTTTCAAAATCTGAGCAGGACGTGGTGGAGAGCATGCTTTCAGAAGTTTTAAAAGAGCAACACTCTGATGTGGAAACTACAGAACCCAAACCACCAAAAAAGAAAAGCAACCTTCTGCTGATGGCATCTGACTCAGATGATGAAAATGAACATGCGTCGGTCCACACTGCTTTGGATGATTATCGAGCAGAACCCATTATCAGCCTGGACACATGTCCTCTGGAGTGGTGGTTGAAGCATGAAGGGACATATGAATCTTTAGCGCATCTGGCACATAAATATCTTGTGATGCCAGCTACAACAGTGCCCATGTGAACCCCTGTTCACACTTCCAGGTGACGTTGTAAACAAGAAGTGAGCAGCATTATCTCCTGAAAATATAAACAAACTTGTTTGGCTGAACAAGAAGTAGGACTGAGTGGACTTGTAGGCTCTAAAATTTTACATTGTTTTGTTTTTGAATGCAGTTTTTTTTGTACATAATTCTACATTTGTAAGTTCAACTTTCATGATAAAGAGATTGCACTACAGTACTTGTATTAGGTGAACTGAAAAATACTGTTACTTTTGTTTTTTACAGTCAAATATTTGTAATAAAAATAAATATAAAGTGAGCCTTGTACACTTTATATTCTGCGTTGTAATTGAAATCAATAGATTTGAAAATGTAGAAAATATCCAAAACTGTTCACATCAATGGTATTCTATTATTGTTTAACGGTGCGATTAATTGTGATTAATTTTTTAATCGTTTGACAACCCTATTTAAATGCATTCTTTTGATAATTGTTACTCATAGGATATGACAGCTCGAGATTTGGTGCAGCAAAGGTATACTCTTCCAAATGGAGACACTGCTTGGAGACCATCTCCACTTGTTACTGCTGCCTTGGATGGGAAGCTTGTTATTCTTGATGGTATTCATCGCGTCAACTCTGGCACCCTAGCTGTACTACAGAGGTCGGTATGGGAACCCTGTTAAGCAGAGTGCTTGAGACTTGTTCATTCAGGACATTCATGCTCAGAAGCTGTGTCCTGTTTGCAAATACACAGCTGTGCAACTCCAGGTATATTTTAAAATTGCAGTCAAGGTATTGGATTTTTACAGAATACATTATGTTGGGACCTCAGATATGGAGAGCAGCAGCAAGCCATGAGTGTGTTATGTAAACCTTTATTAATATTGGCAATTGCAGCTGTTTGTTCATGCTGTACTCTAACTGAATTAGAAAATGTAGTAGTTTCTATCCCAGTGAAAACTATGAGGCCTAAACATTAATAAGTTAATATTTATTAAGTAGTAAAGACATTATAAATAGTATTTGAAAATGCATTCTGCTTCTAATAAATGACTGATTAATTATACTCACTCTGAAAAATGCTTTTTTGGAATTGTTTACTAAATTGATTAAAGGAATCTGAAAAAGGGGGTGAACAGTGAGGTGGCAAAATTTGCAATGATACAAAATTACTCAAGGCAGTTAAGTCCAAATCTGACTGCTAGAGTTACAAAGGGATCTCACTAAACTGGTTAACTGGATGACAAAGTGACAGATGAAATTCAGTGTTGCTAAATGCAAAATTATACAAATTGGAAAATATAATTTCAGCTATACAAACAAAATGATGGAGTCTAACTTGGCTATTACCACTCAAGAAAGAGATGTTGGAGTCATTGTGGATAGTTCTCTGAAAACATCTGCTCAATGTGCACTGGCAGTCAAAAAAGCTAACAATGTTAGGAACCATTAGGAAAGGGATAGATAATAAGTCAGAACATATCATAATGCCACTATATATATCCATCATAAACCTACACCTTGAATACAGTGTTCAGTTCTGGTCACCTCATCTCAAAAAAGATGTATTAGAATTGGAAAAGGTGCAGAGAAGGACAATGAAAATGTTTAGGGGGATAGAACAGCTTCCATACGAGGACATATTAAAAAGATTAGGGGTCACCCAATGGAAATTAATGGGCAACAAGTTTAAAACAAACAAAAGGAAGTATTTTTTCGTCCAACACACAGTCAACCTGTGGAACTCACTGCCAGAGGATGTTGTGAAGACCAAAGGTATAACTCAGTTAAAAAAAGAATTGGATAAATTCGTGGAGGATAGGTCCATCAATGGCTATTAGCCAAGATAGTCAAGGATACAGCGCCATGCTCTGGGTATCCCTAAATCTGTGCCAGAAGCAACTGACACTAGCCACTGTCAGAGACCGGATATTGAGCTATATAGATCATTGGTCTGACCATTCTTATGTTCTTATGAATTAAAAACAAAAATCCTAAAAGTTACACATAATAATGTAAACTATTATTAGTAAATAATTACTACTCATATAGGGCCAGATTTTGACACGTGTTCATGTTGAATAGTAATACCCTTCTCCGTGAGTGATCACATTAATGGGGCCACTTGTGTAGGAAAGTGCTAATCAGGAGTAAGGAGGTACCAGAGTCTGCCCCATAATAAAGAGCCCAAAACTGCCTGTAGAAATGAAAATTTTCTTTTTACTTGGAACAAGTAAAAATATCACTTTTGAGTATACCTATCTTCAGTTCTTTTTGGTTTGCACCTCATAACGTGTTATCACCTTTTAAGTTTTATTCCAAATAAGACTTTCATCATTGACTTACATATTTGATACAAATATATGACAGCATTTGTAGTGCATAAACTAGAAAATTCAGTTAACATCTGAACTTTCTGAAAACCTAATAATCTCTTCTGATCTTCAGTTTTTTATTAGATACCAAGGTGATCTTTGCATTAGACATAGCTAGCCCATTTTATTTTCAAACTGTATTTGTACCGTAATATGTAATTAGGAAGATGGCAGTTCCAAATTGCTATTGGTCAACCTGTCAGTTTCACTATAGTTTGATAAATATGAAAAGTGCTTCCTTTGCTTTCTGTTCCTCTTTATTTTTTCTTTGACTGAAGTGATCTGAAAAAGAAAAACCGTGCATTTGTGCTCTTTTTTGCCTCTTTATTATGTGTTGGTCAAAGACCTGAATAGTTTTTCTCTCTCTTTTTTCACACCTCCAAAAATATTCTGCTTGTTTTGTTTTTTGTTGAAATAACAGGAATGCCAAGTCTTGTCTTCCCTTTTTTGCTGTTGGTGCACTTCTTGGATGGCTCTGAAATGTGTATAGGGAGTTGTTAGAGACAAGATGGGTGAGGTAGTTTCTTTAATTGAACAGAATTCTGTTAATGAGAGAGACAAGCTTTTGAGTCACACCGAGCTCTTCTTCAGGTCTGTGTGGCTCAAAAGCTTGTCTCTCTCACCAACAGAAGTTGGTCCAATAAAAGATATTACCTCTCCCACCTTGTCTCTCTAATATCCTGGTGCTGACATGGCTAAAACTACACTGCAACACGGTACACATCTGATGAAGTGAGCTGTGGCTCACGAAAGCTCATGCTCAAATAAATTGGTTAGTCTCTAAGGTGCCACAAGTACTCCTTTTCTTCTTACTGCAAATAGGGAGATTTGTCAGCCCATTGCTAATGGGGAAGTGGTGTTGAATCCTTAACAAAAAGAGCTTTTCACCCAAGTTTTGTAGTTACATAGCTGTTAGCAAAACCAACAGTCTAAATAAAAATAATTTCCTCTCTTTCAACTCGGTTTCACTTCCCTGGTACCTGTGCTATCATACTCCCTGTTAGTTCTCCATTCATCCAAAGAGTCTTCGAAGTAGACAAGACCTGAAGTTCTAATATAAAAACTTTAGCAGAACCCCATCTATAAGAATAAACAGACTTGAAAAGACCTTTCATGCCTTCTTCACAAATTACAAAAAAAGGAGGACAAGATAGTGCAGGGCTGGGCATAAGTCCATTTTTTTTCTCTTGTGCATTTTGTTCACCTCTGATTCTTTTCATTTTCACTAACAGAATATATATCAGTTAAGATGACTCCTAAAATGTATTGCTTCTAGGAGCAAAATAGGAGTATAGCACTGTGTGCCAGTTGGACAAAAATATTCTGAATTTCGTGCCATACACAGTGAGAGTATAATAGAAAGTCTTCATATATGGTCTTCAGTGGTTTGTTTATCTCTGAAAAAAAATTCTGTCATAAATGGTGTTCTGTACTTACAGAAAATAGTTGAAGTTCTTTCTTGAGCTTGCCATTTAACTGGTATTTTTCTCATCACCAGGTCCTTCACTGAAAGATATAGGTCTCAACTTTTGTTAATAACTCAGGCATTGAAATTAAGACTTCTTGGGTAGAATTCCTCATTAAAGTAACATTGGTTGAGATAACTGTAAAAACTAAGGCAATTAAATACTAGATTTTTGTTCTCTTTTGAATTCCCGAATAGGCTAATCCATGACAGAGAACTGACCCTTTATGATGGCACCAGATTACTAAGAGAAGATAGGTATCAAAGTTTAAAAGACGAACTGCAGCTCTCCGATAAGGAACTACAACAGAGGTAATTTGTTAGACGCTAACATGGTATTCAAAGTAGTTTGTATGTGATTCAGGTTGTAAAGAGTCTTCTATTTTATTGCTTGATGTTACTAAGGTTTCTTGCAAGATGCTTGATTTTTAAATCAGTAATAGAATCTGTTTTTAATACTGCTATCCTCAGTACTTTTTGTGTTAGCATGAGAAGAAAAATCTTAAAAGAGAAACTTAGAGCACTTAAAATATCCTAGCTGAAAGAAACAATATAAATACATAAAAGTTTAGACACATAAGGTATGTCTACACAGCAAAGAAAAATCTGCAGCTGGCCTATGCCAGCCAACTCCGGCTCACAGAGCTCAGGCTGCAGGGCTGTATTATTGCTGTGTAGACTGCCAGGCTTAGGTTGGAGCCCTAGACTCTAGGACCCTGTGGGGTAGGAAGGACCCAGAGCTTGGGTTCCAGCCCAAGCCCAAATGTCTACACAGCAGTGAAACACCCCCGCTGTCTGAGCACCATGAGCCCAAGTTGGCTGGACTGGGCCAGCTGAAGGTTCTTCTTTGCTGTGTAGACATATGCATGGATGCACTGCATTGTTTTGAAGCATTTTATTAAGAGACATTGAGAGTTAAACAAAAAAAAGTTGAATGTTATAATTATTTCTTCCAATAGATTAGCTAGAAAACTGGTATGTAATTTAGAATTAACATGAGGCAGGAAATCCTAAGGTTGGGTTGGTGCCTGTCATGCTTATTCTTCTTGCTTTTTGACTTCCAGTTGTCTGCTAGAAATATTCTCTGTGTTGAAATATTTCAAGTCCTTTGATCGCCAGACAGATACACAGTCATTGTACTGACTGATTTCAGTTAATTGCCAGGATTCTATTTTGTATTACTCAAAACAAATATAATTTAATATGTAATAATATCTTCCATAAATTCTGAAGAGATGAAACTGTTATTCTTAGATGACACTACAGTTTAAATAATGTGGTTTTTATACTGCTAATATTGTGATAAATAAAAATTCTTGTTTTACAGGGACCAAGAGCAATAGTTGATTTTTACAATATACAAGTCATTATGGTTTGCCTCTAATTAGAACAGAGTCTTGTGCAGGAAAATAAACATGAGGGATTGTATGTCAACTATATAATGGGTACAATTGCATGGGTCTTTTGTATAATATAATATTTGGATTCTGAAGTAAAATACAAAAAATCTTTTATTCTTCTCTATATTTCCTTATAACTTTTACCTCAATAATAAGGTGACTCTCTGTAGTAAATTAGGTGAAATAAAACACGTCTTCTGTACTGGGAAAGTAAGTTGATACTACTTTTCTTGGTTGTCCAGTTAGAGCCTGCACTATATGAATGTTAAAACTGAATTCCTATTTTTAATGAAACCTGTTTGGTCAGTTGATATAAGACATGGGAGAACAGACTCCAACCAGTGATCCAAAACTTTTGCAAAAATTCTCAAGTCCAAATTAATTGAGGAGATTGGATGATATGGGGCAAATTCCTTAGGGTTTTCCCTTTTTAAGAATGAAAAGAATGGAGGCATTTTTAGACCTTTAGACCTTTAAACCTTTAGAGGCACTCAATCGGAATGCCCGAAGGGTCGGTCCTGGGGCTGGTTTTGTTCAAAATCTTCATTAACTATCTGGAGGATGGCGTGGACTGTACCCTCAGCAAGTTTGCAGATGACACTAAATTGGGAGGAGTGGTAGATATGCTGGAGGGTAGGGATAGGATACAAAGGGACCTAGATAAATTAGAGGATTGAGCCAAAAGAAATCTGATGAGGTTCAACAAGGACAAGTGCAGAGTCCTGCACTTAGGAAGGAAGAATCCCATGCACTGCTACAAACTAGGGACCGAATGGCTCGGCAGCAGTTCTGCAGAAAAGGACCTAGGGGTTACACTGGATGAGAAGCTGGATATGAGTCAACAGTGTGCCCTTGTTGCCAAGAAGGCTAACGGCATTTTGGGCTGTATAAGTAGGGGCATTGCCAGCAGATCGATGGACGTGATCATTCCCCTCTATTCGCCATTGGTGAGGCCTCATCTGGAGTACTGTGTCCAGTTTTGGGCCCCACACTACAAGAAGGATGTGGAAAAATTGGAAAGCATCCAGCGGAGGGCAACAAAAATGATTAGGGGACTGAAACACACGACTTTTGTGGAGAGGCTGAGGGAACTGGGATTGTTTAGTCTGCAGAAGAGAAGAATGAGGGGGGATTTGATAGCTGCTTTTAACTACCGGAAAGGGGGTTCCAAAGAGGATGGATCTAGACTGTTCTCAGTGGTAGCAGATGACAGAACAAGGAGTAATGGTGTCAAGTTGCAGTGGGGGAGGTTTAGGTTGGATATTAGGAAAAACTGTTCCACTAGGAGGGTGGTGAAGCACTGGAATGTGTTAGCTAGGGAGGTGGTGGAATCTCCTTCCTTAGAAGTTTTTAAGGTCAGACTTGACAAAGCCCTGGCTGGGATGATTTCGTTTTTAGCAGGGGATTGGTCCTGCTTTGAACAGGGGGTTGGACTAGATGACCTCCTGAGGTCCCTTCCAACCCTGATATTCTATGAATTGTAGAAGGTATCCTCTTCTAAAGAAGCAAGAAACATTTTAACAAATCTTTCAAGTGATCTTTCCATCTGTAAAAGGATTAATAGTAAAGTAAACGTAATGGGAAAGATTATACCTGCATTCTTTTAGTTAGTTTAATTAACCACTTACATATTTTTTAAATCTGGGCACATATTCAATAATAAGAACACAGATGCACACCCAGAGTAAATCTGTGGTATTTTAGATACTGTATAACCCAACGCTTAATGAAAATTTCCAAAGCTGATAAGATGATTCTTCTGACAGAATAACAGCTGCTTTATTTTAACATCACTTTATTTTATTTTTAGAGGGGAGGGTGGAGGAGAAAGGAGAATTACACAGGCTGTATTATGACCCAGAGAAATTACATGTGTTCCTGAGCGTTGAACATTTTTAATTAAGAAGAGGTAGAATTTGAGGGATTGAGTGGGGGTGGTGGCATGTTATTTGTTTAGTTTACAAAAATCAAATGAAATAATATTACAGTGACTTCTGGTTTTTTAAGCTAAAAATCATAGTTTTATTCTTGAATTAAAATTTTTGGAGGATGTATGTTAAAGCTGATAACTTCTCTAAGCGCTAATAAAATATATTTCTGACTCAAAAGATCTTACACGTGCCATCAGTTACATTTTCGCTTGATGTTCCACCACGTTACTACTTCCATAGTCTGCACTAATTTTTTTAAACAAGGTTTACACGCCATGCAGGTGGGTGGCATGACTCTGGCAGACATGACGAGCTCAAGCAGCTGATTTGTGGTTCTGGGGATGGAGGATACTCATTGGCCAGTTGAAGGCCTTTTATCTATGAGCTAGCTAGCCGCCTGCATTGCAAATTGTTTCTACTGGCCTTCTCTTTAGCCAGTTGTGCTGTGTTATTACTAAACAGTCCAGGTACAATGGCATCAGGTCACATGGGGAAATTTTATTTTGTAGATTATGGATAATGGGAGAAGAAATCTATGCTGGCGATGAGGAAGGGACTTAAAAAGACTCTCTACGTATAGAGAAATTGTTGCTGCACAGTATTAGCTATTAATAGAATTGTATGATTCACTATGTTGAATTAGTTCTGCGTGAAGAAATGCAGTCACTTAAAATTGATTCAGAATGTATATCCAGGCTTTTTGTGTAGAATTTTCCTACATAAGGATTTGCTGAGGCAGATATTGTGAAGGTGGCATTCCATAACTATAAATACAGTTGGAAGACATAGGGCAAAGCACTAGCTTCTCTATGAAACAGTATTTTAACCTGTTCAGATGGTTTTTTGTTTTGTTTTGTTTTTAGACTTTTCCACATATTAAGCATTTACTATAGTAAACAGGCAGCTAGTAGAGAAAAATATAGAAATGTTTATATAATCAGATTTGCTTCAAAAGCTGAAAGGAGCCGATTATAATGCATGGGTGGGTATTCTTAACACCCTTAAGGCAGTGAATTACTGTCCATGTGACTAGGCTGAAAGAGAGCACATACAGCATATGAGACAAATATAAGCAATGTGGCAGAAGGTGAATTTTGTAGACAATAGAAGCTCCAATATGTTAAATTTTAACTGAATATATTCACCACCCTTTAGTTCTGAGTTGTTTATTTTCACTTCTTTTTGTTTGGTCATTCAGTTTTAGTGTGTTTGAACATATACTAAAGCAGTCAGTTAATTAAAAAACACAATAATCCAAGCCAGTGTGTTATACTTTGCAAAAAAGGAAACAGATGCTTGATAACTTTTGATTCTGGCAGGGATAAGTGATGGAATATTTGAAAAGATGCAGCATAGTTTTTCCCTTTAATTTAAATATATGTCCTCTATCTTAAACACCTTTAAATTATAGTTATTGTTAAATTTTGTTGTCAATACGTGAATTACATAAATATTTCATATGCAAACACCTGATCTTCTGACACACAATTATACTCTTGTGTGACGATAATAATTTGTAAACGATCGCCACTCCTACATTTGTTCTCATTTTGTTTGCAGTAGTAAATGATGATTTGTGAAACTGGAGAAGAGGAAAAGACAAATAAATGAAAAGTTTATGTGCGGCAGCAAGGGAATGCTCTTTGTGTGCCAAAGACAAGAAATCAGTCTTTAGCATTGTACTGGTGAGGCTGCATTCTCTGTTTGACCTTCAGTGAGGTTATTTTCTGTAAGGGCTTATCTACACTTACGGGGGGATCGATGAGTGGCGATTAATGAATTTTTTTCAGAGGAACAGCCGTGTTAGTCTGTATTCGCAAAAAGAAAAGGAGTACTTGTGGCACCTTAGAGACTAACCAATTTATTTGAGCATGAGCTTTCGTGAGCTACAGCTCACTTCATCAGATGTATACCGTGGAAACTGCAGCAGACTTTATATACACACAGAGAATATGAAACAATACCTCCTCCCACCCCACTGTCCTGCTGGTTATAGCTTATCTAAAGTGATCAACAGGTGGGCCATTTCCAGCACAAATCCAGGTTTTCTCACCCTCCACCCCCCCACACAAATTCACTCTCCTGCTGGTGCTAGCCCATCCAAAGTGACAACTCTTTACATAATCAAGTCGGGCTATTTCCTGCATAGATCCAGGTTTTCTCACATCCCCCCACCCCCATACACACACAAACTCACTCTCCTGCTGGTAATAGCTCATCTAAACTGACCATTCTCCAAGTTTAAATCCAAGTTAAACCAGAACATCTGGGGGGGGGGGGGTAGGAAAAAACAAGAGGAAACAGGCTACCTTGCATAATGACTTAGCCACTCCCAGTCTCTATTTAAGCCTAAATTAATAGTATCCAATTTGCAAATGAATTCCAATTCAGCAGTTTCTCGCTGGAGTCTGGATTTGAAGTTTTTTTGTTTTAAAATAGCGACCTTCATGTCTGTGATTGCGTGACCAGAGAGATTGAAGTGTTCTCCGACTGGTTTATGAATGTTATAATTCTTGACATCTGATTTGTGTCCATTTATTCTTTTACGTAGAGACTGTCCAGTTTGACCAATGTACATGGCAGAGGGGCATTGCTGGCACATGATGGCATATATCACATTGGTGGATGTGCAGGTGAACGAGCCTCTGATAGTGTGGCTGATGTTATTAGGCCCTGTGATGGTGTCCCCTGAATAGATATGTGGGCACAATTGGCAACGGGCTTTGTTGCAAGGATAAGTTCCTGGGTTAGTGGTTCTGTTGTGTGGTATGTGGTTGTTGGTGAGTATTTGCTTCAGGTTGCGGGGCTGTCTGTAGGCAAGGACTGGCCTGTCTCCCAAGACTTGTGAGAGTGTTGGGTCATCCTTTAGGATAGGTTGTAGATCCTTAATAATGCGTTGGAGGGGTTTTAGTTGGGGGCTGAAGGTGACCGCTAGTGGCGTTCTGTTATTTTCTTTGTTAGGCCTGTCCTGTAGTAGGTAACTTCTGGGAACTCTTCTGGCTCTATCAATCTGTTTCTTTACTTCTGCAGGTGGGTATTGTAGTTGTAAGAAAGCTTGACAGAGATCTTGTAGGTGTTTGTCTCTGTCTGAGGGGTTGGAGCAAATGCGGTTGTATCGCAGAGCTTGGCTGTAGACGATGGATCGTGTGGTGTGGTCAGGGTGAAAGCTGGAGGCATGCAGGTAGGAATAGCGGTCAGTAGGTTTCCGGTATAGGGTGGTGTTTATGTGGCCATTGTTTATTAGCACTGTAGTGTCCAGGAAGTGGACCTCTTGTGTGGACTGGACCAGGCTGAGGTTGGTGGTGGGATGGAAATTGTTGAAATCATGGTGGAATTCCAGCAGGAGAGTGAGTTTGTGTGTGTATGGGGGTGGGGGGGATGTGAGAAAACCTGGATCTATGCAGGAAATAGCCCGACTTGATTATGTAAAGAGTTGTCACTTTGGATGGGCTAGCACCAGCAGGAGAGTGAATTTGTGTGGGGGGGTGGAGGGTGAGAAAACCTGGATTTGTGCTGGAAATGGCCCACCTATTGATCACTTTAGATAAGCTATTACCAGCAGGACAGTGGGGTGGGAGGAGGTATTGTTTCATATTCTCTGTGTGTATATAAAGTCTGCTGCAGTTTCCACGGTATACATCTGATGAAGTGAGCTGTAGCTCACGAAAGCTCATGCTCAAATAAATTGGTTAGTCTCTAAGGTGCCACAAGTACTCCTTTTCTTTTTGCGATTAATGAATTGGCAGTCTATTTAGTGGGTCTAGTGAAGACCTGCTAAATTGATCGCAGATTGCTTTCCTGTCGACTCCTGTACTCTACTGGATCGAGAAGAGTAGGAGGAGCATCTCCCGTCGACATCGCATAGTGTGGACTCCACAGTAAATAGGTCTAAGTTACGTCAATTTGAGTTACGCTATTCACGTAACTCAAATTGGGTAGCTTGGATCAAATTTCCCCTGTAGTGTAGACAAGTCCTAAGATTCTTCTTACCCCTGGGTGGAGCGAAATAGGGTCTGATGATCTCCCCTACTTGTCTGACCTACAGATTGAACAGGCAAGAGGAAAGGATGAAGATGTCTGGTACTCAGCATTAATAAAGTATTGCCAATCCCTCCAGCCAATTTTATTCTAGGTCTTAGTGTGTTAGGCTTTGCAGTTACTTACATGGCTTCTGTCTGCAGAGTGATCAAATATGGCATAGACTTAATAAACATAGCTCCACAAAGAAACAGTGCCTATGTTTGTTTCGAGCCTGATCCTGCAGGGTACTGAACAACCTCATCTCCAGTTGACGTTGGATGGAGGATTCTCTCCAGCTTGCAGGATTAAGCCCTTTTTAAAATAATAATTAAATATTTGGCTTTACATTTTCAAGAGATTGAACAAACATTAATCCAAACAACACCCTTGTGAAGCAGATGAATGTTGTTCCCATTTACAAACTGGGAAACTGAAACAGATGTTGCACTGGGCCACAGAGCAAATGATGGAGAGGAGAATATACCAGTAAAGTGCTCAGCAGATTAGTTAATGAGAACAAAAAGAGAAATGCATTTGTAGATAGCTTTCCAACGTGCAGTAGCTTTTACTGTTGGAAAGCTTTCCTCAACGAATAGCTGGTTTATTAAAAATTCCTTTGCCAGGGAAATTTTCTATTTGTAAGTTATTAAAATATGCAGTTCAAAAATTCAAAGATTTTTTTGGAATACTGTTGCTGGTAGCTAATTCAGAAATAATGGATTCAATCCTCAGATGTACTCTTTATCCCTGAGAGGAGCGGGGGGCAATGAGGGTGCTGTTTGTGTCTCCCCACTCCTGATCTTTGACTCATCTGGGGGCTTGTTTCTCAGAACGGCTCAAAACTGTGCCCAACTGGCCATACCCATAAGGGGGATTGCCATAGTGCACTTTCTTCTGGCTGTGTTACCCATCTCATTCACTCCCTGCCACATGCCAGAATGGCCCCAGCTGCATTGGGGGAATCCCCAGCTGAGGAAAGCTGACTGCACTTTGGATCCTTTATGACATAGAAGCATTGCAGAAGGACCAGAGCCAGGATCAGGAGTGAGCTTAATGTATGTTGAATATTTTTATTACTAATGAAAAAAAGAGGTTAATCGAAAATTAAACATGCCTTCTCCTATCTTCAAAACAGTTTCTCCTATAATAAGGTTGGTCACTGTTCCCTGACCTTTTCTGTGCGTAGAGATAATGACATACCCATTGGTTCCTATTCACATGATGATTTCAGACGTTTCCTTCTATTTTTATCAACCTGGGTGTACCTTCTAGGCTTCTGACTTTAGGCTGAGAGTAACCGATGCCATCCACTTTGTTTGCTTTGATTTGGGAGTCTGATACAGCGTAGCATATTCAGGAAACAGTTTTTCAAGGGTGTTCACTGTATATGCTTTTCTGTATCGGATTCGTTGTATATACCAGATCTGCCTGCTAAGCTGTTATACATTGTGTAATTTAAATTGAAGGGTCAAATTCTACCTTCGGTTACACCCATAATTTCCCCCCAAAGAATAACCAAAGATGGAATTGGGGCCAAAATATTCTAATTTCAAACAGAATTATATGCAAAGTAGCATATGACAACAGGCAGGAGAAATATAAATGATTGCATTACAATTTTCTCATTTTTGAATATTAAAGTATTTGTCTGGAATTGTAATTGAGGTGTTGAGTAAATATTGCATGCCATATCGCAACATCCAACTAATTTACATCTGAGTTGCTATTATTTACTTGTATAAACAGTTGCACCTGGAGACGGCAAGTTAAATCAGCGTCACATTATGCTAGGCACTGTATAGAAACATATTAAAAGACAGTCCCTGCCCTGAAGATCTTATAATCTAAATAGAAAAGAGAGACAATGGATGGGAGATAGTATCATCCCCATTTTACAGATGGGGATCTGAGACACAGAGAGTTTTAAATGATTTGCTCTAAGTCACACAGGAAGTCAGTCTGTGAATTAAACCCAGATCCTCCCCGAGTTCCGGTCTAGTGTCTTAACTACAAAATTATCTTTCCTGTCTGTCTAATTGAGTAGAAAAAGTTACCCATTGTTGCTGCTTCAAAAGATATTGCCGCCCCCCAGATCTGTCTTTTAGTAATACTGTTTTAGGTGATACTCTTGGAGAAGGTTTCAAAACCATCACATTTGTAAATTTTGTCTATTTCATACATACAAAAAAGTAAACAAATGGTAGCATGGTTACGGGTATTTGCTCAACTTGAAGCATGCAGGTCATGCTGTAGATGAAGCCAAAACTTGGGTAACCTTGTAGGCATTACAACTTACGAGAGATATATTTTGTTTTTTACATTGCTAGTTACATTATGCAATTTTTGTCAGTTTTGATTTTTTTTATGTTGCATTGTGAATGTCCTGAATATAAATTGTGGCTATGGCTTAATACAGTAATTCACTTGAAGACTGATTGCACCTCAGGTGGAGTTTGTAAGTTCAGATTTTTTATTTGCTGCTTCTACCAGGTAATGCATTTAAAAAAATATTTTCTTGCAGGTCCATCTTTCCTATCCATTCCTCGTTCAGAATAGTTGCCCTGGCCGAGCCTCCTGTCATAGGAAGTAGCACAAAGCAATGGTTAGGCTCGGAGTTTCTAACTCTGTTTCTGTTCCATAATGTTAAATCCTTCACCAGGAATGAAGAAATTCAAGTTATTAAAGAAATGGTAAGCACTTGCAATGGTTTGGCCAGTTATTAATATTGGTTCCTATTTAAAATGCTGACTATGATTATGAACTGGAATATTTTAATATACCATAGATACTCCCTTTTCTTATATGATGTGAAATCCTTTCACACAGCCTAAGTGACTCCTTGATTTTTAAGTCTAGGGTATCTTCTACTGTAATTAGTATAAATTCGTCTTGGTAGTTTTCTATTACAGTATATTTTCATATTTTGTGACGCAGTTATTCCTTTTTGGTTATTTGAAATAAATGTATATGCAGTACATACATGCAGGCTGTGTTTATGTAGGTGCATATGTGTGTGTCTATATAAATTACATATGCACACATGAAATATATATCAAATACTTTTTTTGTCTTTTAAACAGATTCCAAATGTGGCCATGGTTGCTGTGGAACAGTTGTTATCGTTAACACACAAGCTTCGGGAGACAAATGACCCCACAGTGAGTCTAGTTTTTCAGATTTGTGTTCTACTTGTTGTCATTATATGTGTAGCTGTTTTTAGAGTCAGGATTTTATCTCTACTCAACAAAGGAATTATTTTCTCCAGCAATGTGAGGATGCTTCCTTATTTCCTTACGTTCTTGCCTTATGCTGACCTATCTTGACCAGTGGAGGCTGGATTGAGCTCATTCTGGAGTCAATTCCTTCACTTCTTGTATGGCCACAGGAGCAGAGTGTGCTGCCAGCATGGTATTCGTAGACCCTGCCTGCATGGGATTTGAGAAACCAGCCTTGGAAATCCAACACTGGTTTCTTGTGCTATATACACGTGGCACCTTTTTTATTTTTAATATACTCATTTAGGACCTGATTAAGCAAAGCACTGAAGCATGTACATAATTTTAAGCATGTATGCTCAAATTCTAGTGAAGTCATGCAGTATTATAACATGTACATCGTAGTCAATATGACTTAAGCAAATGCATAAAAGAGGAATGGGATTTAAAAGCACGTGCTGAATAGGGATGGACTAAAGCATATGCTTAAATTGTTTACTGAATTTATTTAAAATCGCCTCCCCTTAACAAATACTGTTATGTGTCATACAGTGCTTTAGTAATTGTAAATTTGATACTTGGATTTGTTTTGGGATTACTTGGGCAGGGAGGACTATCTAACCATTAGAAAATGCAGACAGGGAGGTAGGGAGATGGGGAAAAGAGGAAAGTGCTCAGAACTGTTAGTAGTATTACTGTGGTAGGCAGTTCTACTAAAGCAGTAATGTAAAAAAAAAATTACTACTGGCACAAAAACTGCAGAACTCTTTTAAAACTGATACAGTCAAGACTCAGTTTTAAAAATTAAATCAATTTCAATGGCAACTAAAATAGTGAATTGATGTTTTACTTTTTGCAGTAAAAAGTTTCAAACATTTTTATTGGAGCCACCCAACATGAGTGTATAGGTGTGCACATGTAACTTGTGTTAGGTTAGGTTATATACAGTAATCTACTTTCCTCAACTCTCAGGAGGTTAGCACCAGTAATAGTTTCCCACCATGTTACTGTTTAGATTTTTGATTGGCTGCATTCCAGGAAGAAATAAAGTGCACTGTCCACATTTTAGCGGACAGCAATTTTGTTTCACATGAGATGAAGTATTTGTAGTCCATTAGTAACCAAGGACGACATTAGAAATAAATCTTTTAAAATCAGCAGGCCTGGATAATTTCCACCCAAGAGTCCTAAAAAAGGTGACCTGAGGAGATTTCTGACCTGCTATTGTTCATGTTTAATAACTCTTGGAATGCTGAGGAAATTCCCCAAGACTGGAAAAATGTTAATGTTGGGCCAGTATTCAAACAAGGCAAGTGGGATGACCTGGGTAAGTATAGGCCAGACATCAATCCTAGGCAAAATAATGGAAAAGCTGATACAGAATTCAGTTAATAAAGAACTGAAGGATGGGATTATAATTAGGGACAGTGAACATGTTTTTATGGAAAAATAGGTCTATCAGAAAAAGCTCATTTCATTCTTTGATGAGATTACAACTTTGATTAAGTAAAGTGGGGCGAGGTAAGATACTTAGATGTTTTTATCAGGTGTTTGAGTTAATACCATATGACATTTTGATTAAAAAATTTCCATTATACAATGTCAATAAAGCAAACACTAAATGGATTAAGAACTGCCTAAATGACAGGTCTCAAAAAAAAGGAGTTGTTCGTGGGGGAATCATCACTGAAGAGGGGCCTATATACTAAGCCCACAGCTACTCAGTTTTTTTACCAGTGGTCTGGAAGCATATATAGCATTGTGGCTGATAAGAAAGGTTGGCAGAATGATAAATGATGGTGAAGACAAGGTGGTCATACAGAATGTTGTGAATTGCTTGGCCAGCTGGGCCCATTCAAACAAAATATATTTAATATAGCTTGAGCCTTACCAAATTCATGGCCTTGAAAAATATTTCACGGAGCATGAAATCTGGTCTCTTGTGTGCTTTTACCTACACTACAAATTTCACAGGGGAGGCCTGCATTTCTCAAATTGGGGGTGCTGACCCAAAAGGGAGCTGCGGGGGTGTGTGTGTCACAAGGTTATTTTAGGGGGGGTTGTGATTTTACCACCCTTACTTCTGCACTGCCTTTAGAGCTGGGCAGCTGAAGAGCGGTGGCTGCTGACTGAGGGCCCAGCTCTGCAGGTAACAGTGCAGAGGTAAGGGTGGCAATAAATTGGTTAGTCTCTAAGGTGCCACAAGTACTCCTTTTCTTTTTGCGGGTACAGACTAACACGGCTGCTACTCTGGAAAAAAAAAATACCATACTATGTGATCCTCACTTCTGTGCTGCTGCCTTCAGAGCTGGGTGGCCAGCCAGCTGCTGACTGATGGCCGAGCTCTGCAGGCAGCAGTGCAGAAGTAAGAGTCGCAATACCATACCTTGCCATCCTTACTTCTGCGTTGTTGCTGGCAGCGGTTCTGCCTTCAGAGCTGGGTTCTCGGCCAGCAGTCACCGCTTTCCAGCTGCCCAGCTCTGAAGGCAGTGCTGCCATGTGCAGCAGCACAGAAGTAAGGGTAGCAGTACCGCACCCCCCCCCGCCAACAATAACCTTGCAACCACCCCACAACTCCTTTTTGGGTCAGGACCCCTACAATTACAACACTGTGAAATTTCAGATTTAAATAGTTGAATTCATGAAATTTATGATTTTAAAAATCCTATGACCGTGAATTTGGTAGGGCCAAATCAAGCGAGTAGAAAAGTTCATCTACTTGGGCAGCACCTGTCACAGTTCAGGGCAATTGCACGTGTATTTCCGCCCTGTGGTCCAGCAAGGTTCCCAGCACCTCAGCCATCACCTCTTCGGGCTGGAGACCCACATCTCTCTCACTCCTAACCAAGATTTTTCCAGACTTCACAGTTCCCTGTCTACACTGTGAGTTTCCCAGCAAGACAGACTGCCTAAGCAGGCCTGCTTTGCTTTCTCCTCAAAAGCTATAAACAGCATAATTGCCCACAGTTATAGTTTCAAAACAGCTCTTTCTACACAAGCATATTTATTCTTAAGGTGATAGAATTACAGAGCAAACATATTAAAAACAATAAAAGAACCTACACACATTCTAATAACTTAGGCAGGATCTCCCCTATCCCCCCAACTCCAGCAAGGGCTGTCGCAGGTGATCAGTCCTTCATATCCCACCTAGGGAATTTTCTGTGGTTACAAGTTCAAAACAGGTGTTAGTTTAGAACAAGTACATAGCCTGCACCAATCAGCCTGTTTCTTTGTACATCTTGTGCCTTTGATCTTGTCCTCATGTAATAGGTGATCGGCAGACAGTAGCTCTCTCCTCAGGGCATATCTTCAAAAGGCTGGGATTTTGCATATCTGGGTGGTGGTATATTTACATTTACTAGAGCAGTGGTTCCCAGACTTGTTCCACCGCTTGTGCAGGGAAAGCCCCTGGCGGGCCAGGCTGGTTTGTTTACCTGCTGCGTCCGCAGGTTCGGCCGATCGTGGCTCCCAGTGGCCGCGGTTCGCTGCTCCAGGCCAGTGGGAGGTGCTGGGAGCGGCGCGGGCCGAGGGATGTACTGGCTACTGCTTCCAGCAGCTCCCATTGGCCTGGAGAAGCGAATCGCGGCCACTGGGAGCCGCGATTGGCTGAACCTGCGGATGCAGCAGGTAAACAAACCGGCCCAGCCCACCAGGGGCTTTCCCTGCACAAGCGGTGGAACAAGTTTGGGAACCACTGTCCTAGAGATTTGTTGAGAAACCCACCTAATTTTGTTTGTCTCTAAAGTTCATTCATGTCTGGCACATGGTTTAAAATAGTTTGTTGAAGCTCATAACACTTCCCAGGGTTTAAGTTGGTCATTGGGTACATCCCTCCACCCTTCCCCCCGACATTACATACAATTTCACAATAATACATAAAGTTTGCATTTTTAATACAATGAAATCCAAAGATATTTAACCTTAACACAATAAGGATTTTCAAGGTTATTGCAGGAAATTGTCGTACCTGTCAGAGTAACTTACTGGCCAATGGAGAGCTCAAAAAGGAAGTGACATCAAGGATAGGAAAAGCATTCACAGCATGTACTAAACTTAACAACGTAGGGAAATCAAAAATATATAGCATCAAAACAAAACTGAGAATTTTCAGTTCAAACATAATCTCATTGATAACATACAGCTGTGAGAGTTGGAGATCTACTAAAACTATACACCTTCAAAAAATAAGTGCCTAAGAAAGATTCTGGTCATTGGTTGAAACGATTTCCTTACAAACAAAGAGATCCGAGAAATCATGAACCAGCAGCTTGTTTCCACCAGCATCAGATGGGTGTGCTGGACATGTTTGGGGCATGTACTCCAGATGACAACACACAGACTCCCACATGAAGCTGTCAAGTGGAAACCAAGTGGTGTGAGGAAACAGGTACCCCCAAGAGAAACCATGACGAAGAATTCTTAGGGAGGGCAGAACAGTTGATCTCAACACCATATAGCAGATGGAAGCAGTAGCAAATGACATAGAGGAGTGGAAGAGACTAGTGTCCACCGGGAGGGCCAATATCAGTGCAGGAAGGATGGAGGGGACTCGAATTAATGACTGAGAAGAGCCACAAAAATGATTTGAGGGCTCCCTTACGGCGTGAGACTTAGCTCAATTTATTTAGCTTATTAGAAAGAAGATTGAGAGGTGACTTGATTAGTGTATAAGTACACTCATGGAAGAAAATAGAGGGTACTAAAGTGCCCTTTAGTTTAGCAGAGAAAGGCATGGCAAGAACCAGTGACTGGAAGCTGAAAGCCAGACACATTCAAATTGGAAATGTGACACACATTTTTAACAATGCAGATGATTAAGCACTGGAACAAATTACCAAGGGAAGTGGTGGATTCTCCGTCTGTTGATATCTGCTAATTAAGACTGGATACCTTTCTGGAAATTATGCTTTAACCAAACACAACTAAGGCTTTAGTCAAACACAAGTAATTAGGCTCAATAGTTGGCAACTGGATGCAACTTAATGGCCTGTGATATACAGGAGGTCAGACTGGATGATGTAATAGTACTTTCTGGCCTTAAACTGTATGAATCTATGAATGAATAAAAGGAAGTGAACCCGATACTTATTTATGTATTTATTGCATTATTGGCATGTATGTGGTTCTTTAACAATATATATTACAAAAGGGAATGTATTTGTTTGTAAAGTGTTTGGTGTCTGAACAGAGCAATTAAAAAAAGGGTCTCTCTAACATCCATAGCGTTGTGAAATATCCAGAGAAAGTGTATGCTATAAGACAAATGATTCACTGTTGGAAGATACCTGTAGATCAGTATGATATCCGATGTGCATATATGTATATAAAATAATCATACACATCACAGGTTGGGCGATATATATATCTATCTATCTCATATATCTATATATAAAAAATAGCATGCCCGTGCTGTGCGTTGACCTGTGTGTTTCACGTCAGTGGTTCCCTTTATTACTTTCAAATTATCAAAATGAAACATTTTGATTGACCCAAACCAAATTATTTTTGTGACTTTTGGTTCACGAACATTTTTGAGATTTTTGATTTTTTCATTTCAATTTGAGATGGGAAAAATTTCTGAAATCTCAAAAATTTTCACGAGAGGAAAACCTTTTCCTGCCCAGCTCTACTATTTAATAACAGTCCATTTTGTAAATGGACCCAGCAGAGACTCAAGAATGAATGGGCTTGGATCTTGAACTGTTATCTTGATTCTACAGGTGGCCTCACTCAAGCAGAGTTTAGAAACGTTGGCAGGACGGTGTGGAGAAGCTTGTATTTTTGTCACCCATGCTATGTACTCATTTTGTGGATTCATAAATTAGGCCAAAGGATACCATTATGATCATCTAATCTTTACTGTTGCATAACACAGCACGCAGAATTTTATCTGATACCTTGTGGTTGAACGAAAGGATTTATTTTAGAAAGATCTCCAGTTTTGATATAAAGACTTCAATTTGTTCCAATAGTTAATTTAACCTCATTGTAAAATTTGCATCTTATTTCTCATTTAAATTTTTCTGACTTCAACTGTTAGACCTTTGCAAACATTATTGTCTTTGCTGCTAGATTCAAGAACCCATTAGTAGTTTGGTCACCATAGCTACTTCTGTCAGGGTCTGAAAAAACTACACCCCTGACCAGCATAGCTGTGCTGACCTAGCCCAACACAGACACAGCTATGTTGACGGGAGAATGCTTTTGTCAACATAGCTGCTGCTGTTTGCAGAGGTGGTATTTCTACACCAATGGAAAAACCTCTGCCATTGGTGTAGGCTGTGTCTACATTACGGGATTATGCCATTATGGATTATGCCATTATTATACGTTATGGATTATAGCTATACCAGTATATTCTCCGTAGTGTAGACATACCTTCAGGTGAATCGGATACCTTCTTCCTGTGTAATTACAGATTGCAATCAAGTAGTCTCTTAATCCTCTCTCTCTCTTTGATTAAATTAAATAGATTGAGCTCCTTTAGTGCTCATTATAAGGCACATTTTCCAGACTGTGAATCATTTTGATAGCTCTTTTTGAATTGTCTCCAACTTTCAATATCCATTTGAATATGTGGACACCAGAACACAAGAACAGCCCTATTGGGTCAGACCAAAGGTCCATCTAGCCCAGTATCCTGTCTTCCGACAGTGGCCAATACCAGGTGCTTCAGAGGGAATGAACAGAACAGGTAACCATCAAGTGATCCATCGCCTGTTGCCCATTCCCAGTTTCTGGCAAACAGAGGCTAAGGACACATCACTGCCCATCCTGGCTAATAGCCACTGATGGACCTATCCTCCATAAATTTATCTAGTTCTTTTTTGAACCCTGTTGTAATCTTGACCTTTACAATGTCCTCTGGCAAAGAGTTCCATAGATTGTTCCACAAATACTTCCTTTTTGTTTGTTTTAAACCTCCTGCCTATTAATTTCTTTTGGTGACTCCTAGTTCTTGTGTTATGAGAAGGAATAAATAACACTTCCTGAATTACTTTCTCCACACCAGTCATGATTTTATAGATCTTGATTGTATTCCCCTTAATCCATCTTTATTCCAAGATGAAAAGTCCCAGTCTTATAAATCTCTCCTCATATGTAAGCTGGTCCATACCCCTAATAATTTTTGATGCCCTGTTCTGTATCTTTTCCAATTCCAATCCATCTTTTTTGAGATGGGGTGATCAGATCTACACACAGTATTCAAGATGTGGGCATACTATGGATTTATATAGTGGCAATATGATATTTTCTGTCTTATAATCTATCCCTTCCCAAATGATTCCCAACATTCTGTTGGCTTTTTTGACTGCTGCTGTCCCTTGAGTGGATGTTTTCAGAAAACTATCTACAGTGAATCCAAAGATCTTTCTTGAGTGGAAACAGCTAATTTAGACCCCATCGTTTCATATGTATAGTTGGGATAATGTTTTCCAATGTGCATTACTTTGCATTTATGACAGGTTTCAGAGTAACAGCCGTGTTAGTCTGTATTCGCAAAAAGAAAAAGAGTACTTGTGGCACCTTAGAGACTAACACATTTATTTGAGCATAAGCTACATCCGATGAAGTGAGCTGTAGCTCACGAAAGCTTATGCTCAAATAAATGTGTTAGTCTCTAAGGTGCCTCAAGTCCTTCTTTTCTTTTTGCATTTATGAACATTGAATTTCATCTGCCATTTTGTTGCTCAGTCACCCAGTTTTGTGAGTGTTCAAGTAATGCCCTGGACAGTACTGTAATACAATCTCCCTATTCTTGCCCATTATTCCCTTGTTTATACATCAAGGATTATGCTATCTCTTTTTGCTCTTTCACATGGGGAGCTCATATTCAGCTGGTAATAAATAGAAGACTTCGATTTCCAGGATGTCAATTCTGTTACAAATGCTAAATTCATTGAAAAATAATGGACATGAGGTGATCTGAAATCAGGATACAGTATCTCTAATATATGCAGAGGCATGTCATATATGTTGAGGTAGTGCCATACAGTACTGCAGGAAACTTTCAGATAAATCAGCTTTAACACAAATAATTTAATTTTCACTTATTTGTCTTTTTGCTGTAATTCCTAATAATATTAATAAATAATAATAATTAATAATATAATGTTAACACATCTTATATAGCCCACAAATCAATGAAATCATAATGCTGACATTTTGATGACATAATTATTTCCATGGTAATAGATTCCTGCCACAAACACGGAATTCCGACCTGTGAAGGATTAAGTGGTGCAAACTGGGATATGAGGACGAAAGCACCTGTTTAAGACCAAAATTTTGAAATAATTGCTTTCAATGTAAATAGTTTTTTTCCAGGTTTGTTCCAGTTTAAATCCAAGAGGACTATTAATAAAATTACCTTTTATTTTTGGCAGGCACAGTCACTGGCATCATCTTTGTCCACACGACAGCTATTACGAATTTGTCGTCGGCTATCACAGTATCCAGATGAGAGTCTCTACCATGCTGTCAATAAAGCCTGTCTTTCCAGGTAGCCATACTAATTTTACTGTGAAAGTTTAAGGTTCAAAGAAACAATTGCTAATATGATAAAAAGATGGCTTAAATTTTTTTAAAGGAGTTAGACATTAAAAGTAGAACTGCTACTATTCTGATCCTCCCTAATCAAAGAATGTTAGATTTCACTTCTATGGAATTCCCAGATTTCAAACATCATTTGAAACAAATCATTCAGCACTTCTTTCTAATCTGTGTGTGTGTGTGTGTGGCATATGCTTAATGACTTGATAGAAATAGGTCTTCAGAACTAATGATTGTCAAAAGTGTGATGCTGTCTCAAAGATAAAATATTACTCAGGATTGTATTAATGGAATACAATGTGATTAGGTGTCAGTTGGAGGTTTGTATTTAGTTTTAGGCATTGCATTTTTTTAAAAAGTTGTAGACAACTCAGATATTGCAAAGGAAGGCAACAGCAGTTAGAAAAAGTTCTGAAAATATGAGTGACGAAAATATAAGGGCCAAATTCTCCAAGGTACAGAGAATCTTAAGCTGTCCAATTCTGGGGCCTGTATGATCTGGGATCAGTCACAGCTGAAGGATCTGGCTCCAATTAACTGTGGAAGGAACAACGTCATTGTCCCCTCAGCATCCTAACTCGTTCGTCATTACAGCTTCTTCACAGGAATCCCACATAACAATGTAGTGCTTTAAAATGAGCATTTATGTTAATATAATTTTGGGACTGAAATTTAGATTAAGTCTAAAGGATACTTGGCTGCTACAACTTTCCATATGTTGTGATTGTATTTTTTTTTAAACTCATATAACTTTGGAATTAGGAGTTATTGATGTGGGGAGAGGAAATTGGACAGTTTCCAATAGCATGAGGACCCATTTCCTTTGCTAAGCACAGATAGAAAGGTGAGGAGTTGGAAACTGTCAGAGTGGGACAGGATTTGGTATTATTTAGGGCATGGAGTCAGGGTGAAGTGTCACATTGATCTTAGAAGACAAAAAGAACCCTGAGAAAAGTAAAAACTGACCTTCCTTTTTTCCCCCCTCCTTGGTTTAGGTTTTTGCCGAATCTCGCAAGATCAGCTTTACATAAAAATCTGCTGGATTCAGGGATTGAGATAAACCCGGATGATATTAGGAAACAAGAGGAAAAGGATTATAGTTGTAAGCTTCTGTCACCTTTTGTTTTTAATCTTTCATGAACATTACTCAACTGTTTGAACGCAAAAAGATGTATTAAATGTTCCCTTAATTAAGTGTGCCCTGCTTTAGATACATCCCTTAGCCGTTGTCTTGCTAAAGAATATACCTATATTTCTCTACATACATTCTCTAAATTTTCATAACTGTAGAACTTCCTAAATCTAAGTGATTCTTTATCATAGCCTGGCCCGTGGAATTTTGTGTGTGACCTTTACATTTTTAAGTCTGCCAGATCAATGGCGCCCTTGTTCACTTTGCTTTATTGGGTCACTTTGCTACGTTCCTCTGTTAGCATTCTTGACAATTGTGTGCGTCATCCTTCTTGTTGTCCAGGCTTACAATTTTTGTGTGATTGAGTCTTCTAGATCTTTCTCCATTGCAGCACATCCTCCACCTCCCCAATACTCTGTACATCCTCCTCTTTAATATGACCCAAATAAGCTCTTCTCGTTCATTATCGTGTTTGCAAAAAACCTTGGTCATCTCTCACTCTGACTGTGGCAATCTGTCTCTAGTCTGGCTTTCCCTGTTCTCCCTCTCTGTACTATACAAAATATTATTGTTACAGACAACTTCTTCTCCCATCACTCTGATAACATTTCTTTCCCCTCTTTGGTTCTGTCTCTTACCACGTAAATTTTGTGCTCTCCCCCTCCCCCCCCACCGTTAACTCTGTACATATCGTTCCCGCTTCCATCTTTTATCTCACTTCCTATCTCCCTCCCCCCCCCCAATTTATTCCTCTCTGTCCTCTGGCCTTCCTGTTTCCATCTTTTTTTCTTACACTCAGCTTCATGTTTTCTGTCATGTACCATAGAGTCTGTCACTTCCTGTCCACTAAATCCTTCTTTTCAACTTATTTTATTTTCTTCTAGCCTCACCAGTACTCTTTGCTGTTCTTCTCCTGCATAGTTGAGAGTTTTGTTTTACATGTGTTTGTCTTGTCTGTTTTCATTGCTAGATCTTTAAAACAGGAGGACATGTCTTAACATATATTTGGAAAATGCTGTACCAGTAAAAATGTCTATAGCTACTGTATCTAGTAATGCAGGCTCTCTTCAGTTTCAAAACGTATGTGGTATAAATTGGGGCCAAGTACTAACTTCATATAGGTAGGATAGTTTGAATTATAGTAATATGACTAGAGAGTCATTCCGTTGCAGTGAAAGTTTAGTTTTTTGCAAAACTGACACTAATATGCAAACTGTATATTACTTTATAAATCTGATTGAACCTGATTCATTAACAATGTGCAACATTAGAACTACCAAAAATACAACAGATTTAGTAAGTTCATGTTCATATTACCAGTAATTTTGTAATTCCACCATTTGCAAAACCATAGCAGAGTTAAACTAAACAAAATAAAAACAAACAATGGAGAGCAGTTTCTCAGTATTACAGTTCAGGTTCATCCAACCCAACAGGATGTCTGAATAGAGGAAAAGGGCAAGCATCTGTGGGAGGCAGAGTTGACTATCTGGAACTGCTGTGTTGTAGCGTAACTCCTTGTAGCAGACTACTGTGGTTAGCCAATACAGTGGTTTTAATTATTTTTCTCTCCAAACTACTTCTGAATGTTTCCCCAACATATGCAAATTTAGCCACTTTTCACCGACGTTTTAAATGTGCCTATTTTGTGTTATTAAACCATTTGTATAAAATGTGCTGAATGGAGAAACCAACAGTGACTTTATCTTGCCTAAAGTTTAAAGGAAATGACTGGCATGCTGTTTCTCCAAGGGGTGAGTACGGTCAAACAGTTTTAATAACACTCAATGATTAGAGGAAGGGAGTACCAAGTTAAGGCTTCAGCCAAAGCAGCTGTCACAATTTGCAATGTTCTTTCTGATACTTGTCCCCCTAACATCACCAATTTGTCACGCATTGTAATGGAACTGATTTTAAGCCTTAGAGCTTTATGCTATTCCTTTTCTGTCCTCTTTCTTCCGAAAGCTGGAAGCTTTGCTGTACCAATACATTGCAACAAATGTATGCATTATCTCATTACCAGTATTGTTGACCACATATCTGCAAATCAGTGTTCTAAGTAATTCTTTGTTTTTCATAAAATGTATAGGTGAAATACATAATGGGTTTCTGAGGATTGGATCTGCCACCATGCCTGTTTATAACCCCAATGAGAAAATGAAAGTGCCTGATGTTCTGTTTTATGAGAACACCCAGGTGAGTGCACTTCTCTGACGCTACAGATGCAATAGAGTTTGTTAAACATTGTAGTAAAGATTTTTTTAAATAGCATGTTGGTGAAGTGGTTGCATCAGGTTGAAACAGTGATCCTTGAAAATTTTTAATCTTGTTGGTAAATTTGGTGCTCGTTTCAGGTGACTAGAGATCAAGCTTCTTAACCATCCCTTTGTGAAGAGATTATAAAAATCTTGTAGAACTTTCATAAGAAGTAAAGAAACAACTATTGAACCTGGATTTTGTTTGTAGTGAATCAATAAAGTACTGTGTTGAGAGGTTTTATTATTGCAGCTTGCCTAAGCCACTATTCTTATAGGTAAACAGTTCCTTTTTAAGATCCTATTTTTAGAAGTTTATAACTTGAAGTTTTGCAGCTTGCAGTACACAATTTGGTTTAGGAATTACTTGTATATGTTTTTAAAATACAAAAACAATTAAATTTTTGAAAAACTATCACTGTTCATAGTAATTTTATTTGTAACACTTTTTTAATACACAAACAATATGCTTATTAACAGCATACTGAGCCAAATCATAGACTGATGCACTCCTGTTTAAATACATTTCAGTTATTATTCTAAAATGGACTCTCTAGAGTGCAGAAATTCAACAAAAGTTGCTGCAGCATAGTTTTCCTCCATTTATGTAGTCTGTGCACTTTCATTGGTTCTGAGTGTCTAACTTGTATAATCACTGTACAGTATTCTTAATAACTATATTATGTGCAAGTCCCAGGATTCTAATTGGCTGACAGACATTTTTAGCTAATCAGAGTGCAAGAATTGCTCGAGAACTATGCTGTATATATGCAAATCTTTAATATGGCTACTAATGGTTAAAATCTCTGCTCTGTACTCACAATTATCATGCTATTTGGTGTTAATAGAAATGTTGTTTCAGCCTCTCACGCTGTTCAGCTGACCCAGAGAAATTCCAAAATGTATATGAAGGGGAAGAGAATAAGAAAAATAACAAAAAGCAAAGACGTGGGTCTGCAAACGTGCTATGAAAGGGGAAGTGTTTTTCTCTAGCAAAGGCAGGTCCACTGCTCTTCACTAGAGAGGGCAGGTGTCTGGTCACCATAGCACTGAAGTGTCAGCTGTCAGTCCAGGGTATGCTTAGCCATAGGGCCTGCCCACTGAGTGAATCTCCTGAATGCTTTGCCATCCAAAGGCAGCACAGGCAGCTCCTGTGAAGTGTTTGCATGTTAGCACTAGCTTTTAGAGCCTTGGCAGGGCCTCTTCCTTAGGGAGTTTCCTTTCCTTCGTTTTTTCATATCCTTTTCTTTCTTTCCGCCTCATTTGCTGGTCCTCCGCAGAGCAGAGCGTGCAGCCTCCACTGCATGGGCCCTGCTGGCAATGTGAATCTGTGAGAATCTTCTTAATTTTCCCTCGTAAAATTCGATGTTTGAGGTTTTGTTCTGTGCTATCATTTCAGTAAAGTACTTTAACTTTGGGACTCTCACAGATGAAATCCTAAACCCTAGAACAATGCTCTTCTGTGTGTGCTACTCTTTCCATCTTCTTGTTCAAGGAGGCAATAATTGCAGTAATTACAAATTGAAAGCACTGCAAAAATCTGAACCTGACCTATGTTAGAATATTATTTATCTGCTTTGTTTAGGTGTCACATTTTTGTTAAACATGTTGGCTGAAGGAAATTGCCCCAAATCTATCTTCCTAAAAAACTGTCAGAAAGTAACATATTACCAACTAAAAATTAGTTTTCTTCTTTAGTCCTGCACTGCCAGCTCCCATCCCAGTGTGACACACTAAAGTGCTCTGGTGATGATTTCACAACCATAAAACTCTGCTGGAGAATGAAACTGGCAATATATTCCATTATTGTGTGATGTCGTTAAAAACCCAGCACTGAGTTATGCACACTTGCCCCCAAAACATTTCATGTCCCAGTGGGGTTGCAGCATTGCTGTGAAATCACAGTGTGCTGCAACTGAAGATGTAGTACCAAAGCTGGAGCCTGCTATCTAAACTGGGCTGCGTATTATGAGACTCTTTTCAGAAGAAGAACAGTGATTTTTAGATATGTGCTAAGTGCCCCAATCAGCCTCGCTTTTGGGGAGCACTGAACATGTATTGCCAAAGCGAGTGGAATTTTGACATTTCCATTTGCAAATCTCTTATATGAACATGACGTGATTGTAAATGTTCTCTGTATATCTCACTACAATACTAGCTTGGACCCTGTTGCTAGGAAAATTAGACAATTTCTAATGAGTACTTGCATTTATTGTGCAAAAACAGTTGTTTGAGGGAAACAACTTGAACACAGTTATTTATACAATTTAGGATTTGTTTGTTTAAATGAAGAATTGTGAGGAAGTACTCACATGTTTTTAGCAATTAACTCAGAAAGTGTAATGGACGTGGCTTGCTGGGATACATGATGTTAAATCTAGACTAAAACTAATCGGATCAGCTGTAAATTTACAGTATATGCGTAAATACAATAATTTGTCTTCAAGCCTTCTCCCCTACTCCTCAAAAATTATGGTGCATTTGATAGTCTCTTGACCTGGGTAGTTAGGATTTTGCAATATTAAACTTTGATTATAAGCATCATTAAAATATTGCCTTTTGTTCTGGTCTAAAGCGATTTGGAAAATCAAAACAGCTTTTGCAGTGTTCTAAATTGAATATTTCTGTATACTCAGTAATAATGCAGGAGTTACTGATTTCAAGAAGCAAATACCAATGATGAGATGATGATGCTGAAAGAAAAAAATATTATGTTACATTTATATAAAGACAGTTATTCCTTTTTCTAAGTACCCTGTCTGACCTACTTACAGATGACCTATTTTCACTAAATACAGAGGATACACAAGATTTTGATGCTAGTAAAGCAGCCTGCATTTTTCATGTTATCAGGCTCCTTAGATGATTGCATTATTTTTATTTGCAACAAATCTATTGTTTGGAGCAAGTTTAGGTTGATATTTGTTTTCAAGTACATTACTAATTGTGCATGTTAGAATGTTTTACAACATTTAGTTAGTATTAAGTATATCAAGTATTTTAACAGTGGCTGTGATTCGTCAGTCTAATTCTGAGATTGTGAGAAATGCACACACTTTTTTGATTTGGGATGGATTTTCTTTGTTTTTTCTTGAAAATAAACTGCAATTGGAATAGAAACTTGTATTTGAGATCAATGTCTCACCTTCAGGTGATATAAATGTGCGTAATTATAAACATATTGGATCAAATTCATCTCTTGACTTAGTGGAGTTGTACCAGAGACAAATTTGACCATTGGGACTTTTCTTCATATCATACGAAAAATGTTCCTATTAGTTCTTGATTATTGTCGTTTGCTGTAATCTATTGCATGCTCTTTCCTCTCCAAAAGCTTGGGTAAAAGATGGACCTTGCTGTATGCCTTGAAGTTCAACAAATTCAAACTATTTTGATCCAGTGCAGGATGGGGGAGAGTTCCAAAGTTGTGGGTACTTCTGGAGAATGATTTGCCAGCCACTTTCTTTCTTTTATACCTGTGGCGGGACTTCCAGCTCAAGAGTCTTCTCTAGGTACCATTATGGACATAACTATAGTCATCTAAATTTGAGGTGGCAGGGCTTGGTTTTGCAGTAGTAAAATCTGTGACCCAAAGAAACAGTCATAGTTTCCAGGCTAGACAGATCTCTAGCATCCATCACTGCTGGGGCTCTGGGTCCCCGCTGCTGGCTGGGAGCTACAGGGGCCCCTGCGACTAGGAACTCCAAGGTTCCCTGCCCTCCGCAGCTTGGAGCTGCGGGGTCCCCCCCGCCACCCACGGCTTATCATTTTCCTTTGTGAGTTCATTCAAGAATATAGTAATTCTCTGGGTTCCCCCCCACAGCTTTATCGGGGCATTTAGTGCACTGGATGAGGCACACCACATGTTATGATAGGCATGTGCAGGATCCATGGATCTTGAAAGGTGTATTGTCGGGAGTGGAGATATGTCTGCAGGTTTTGCATCTGTTCTGGCAGAGTCTGGTGCTTCTTTGAGTTGGTGTGTCCTGGTCTATGGGGAGCTTGCTTCTGATGATGAGTTTGGAGAGGTTTGGGGGGTGGTTTGAAGGTCAGAAGAGGGGGTTAAGGAAAGATTTGTTTCAGGATGCGATCCACATAGAGTGCGGCTTGTACTTGTTTAATGACGCCCTGTATGGATTCCAGTGTGGAGTGGTATGGGACAACTAGGGGTGTGCGGGTGGCAGGGGTTTTAATTCTGTATTGAAGCAGGTTTTCTTGGGGTATTTGGGAGGCCCGTTCCATGATGCAGTTTACATACATACAGTCATTATATCAGTCCTTGCACTGTGGCTGACAAATATTAGCCAACCATGCTAAAAGGAAATTCATTCTGTACAGTTATTGAGAAATACAGAAATCAGACACCTAGCGCCAGTCAGAGTGCAGGATAGTATATCAATGGAGTTAAAAACTGTACATCATTGTTTGTTACTGAATAGATTCCCTCTGCTCTGATTGAGACAATTCTATTTCATTAGAATACCAAATAAATAGATATAGATAAGGGTTCTGGTGAAAAATACTTTAAGTAATAATCTTGCATTTATTTTGTGTGTATAAGCACAGTAATTAAAATTCTTGTTTTCTTTGTCTCTAGCATATGATGGTGATGGAGGATATGCTAAAAGACTTTTTGCTGGGAGAACACCTTCTTCTAGTTGGCAACCAGGTAAGTTAAAACATATCTCTCTTTACAGTGTGTGGACCACATTCACCATTGGTATAAGTAAGTGAAACTCTCTTTTGCTTTGTTGAAGTTGCATCTATCGTGCCATTGATAAATCTTCAGTTTCATGTGCCTACATCTGAGAATGTTATTGGAATCTAGTTTTAGAATAAGTAAATAACTACAGAGAAATCTAAACCTAAAAAGACAAATATACCAGTATCCTGTATATATATAGCCTTATTTGATAGGTACCTTAAATTACTTCTGTGCAGCAACATAGAAAACTGATTGTATATCAGATTCAGTCACTTTAGGTGCTCTTAAGAGTTGATAAGGACTCTTTCTTTTTGTCTGGTTAATCCTGCTCAGAATTCAGGGTGTGGGGTTTTTTTTTTTGTGTCCATAAAACACAGCTTGTTGATCACTGCCAGCACAGAAGTTTAAGTAACAAGAGGCTAGATATTAGGAATTAATCCAGTTGACATATTTTAAATATTTTTAAAAGCAGCCACATTAAGATAAGCCTGCTTTTGTGCCATGCACACTATTACTTTCCCATTCAAGGTGCCAAGGTTTTCATCTTCTGCTTGCTTGCAAACGTTGTAATTAAAAAAAAAAATCTATCCTTTTCTGTTCATTGAACTTAAGTTAAAAGTTTAATCTATGATTAGAAACTAAGTCTGATGTCACTGTTTTGTGTGATCTGTTTGATAGGGACTGAAAGCTTAACTCTACCAGCATTTCTTTAGTACTGTAGCACATATTTGTCGTTCACTTTCTATAACATAGGATCAGTGGTGATTTGTGTGTTTGGGGTAGGGGAGGACACAAAATGCTGTGTGTTCAATTAGTTGAAGGTTTTTGTGTCTGTATGTGAGTGAGAGAGCGAGAGAGAGACAAACTATACAACGAATAACTGCGACATTTAGGAGTTCATTCCAGACCAGTAAGGGGTTGTGTCACCACCTAACCTGTAGCCCTGGGTGCCTCTGTGCTCTGCAGTTTTGGCTCACATCCCTGATACCAGCAGCGTTCTCCCAAGCACAAAGCCCCAGCATGGTTTTCCCCAGCCTGGTTACTCTATGCAGGGTGACACCAACAGCCCTTCCAGCCCTGAGCTTCCCCAAAATCATCTCCCCTGTTGAGTCCAGTCCCGCTCAGTGGAACACACACTAAACCTTATCAAGCTTGCTGCTCCTTTAAAGAGATGGTACACAGTACCAGCCTGCTAGCTTGGCTGAGGGTTTCACTCTTCAGTTTAAAACACTACACTAGGATGACTGGTTGTGTAACAGAACAAGAGTGAGTTTATTAACAAAGAACAGATATTTAAGTGACACCAAGTAGAAGTGATTGGGATAGAAATGGTTACAAACAAATGTAAAATATGCTTCTAAGACTAAAACCTTACTTAACAAACTAGAGTCTTTTGTTCAAAGTAGTTTTCTCACCACAGTGACAAACCAGTGGCCATCCCCCCACTGATTTGCCTGATGGCTTTGTCTACCTTGCATGTAAATTTAATTTCACGGTCTCTCCTTGGTTAATTTACATTGGAGATACCTTCAAGGGGGTGGAATCACATTCCTTTGTCTAGGACTGGGTGACTTAAGCCCTGATTCCCCAACACATTTTGCAAACATATTTCCATCACATATTTATAATTTTTCATATATCACCCATACATACACCATGCAATAATATGAATGACCGGCATGTTGCCATTTCTTATATGATACCTTACATGACACCTTTTAGATACAGATTATAACAATAATGAGTTGTAGTACACTGAGCTGGTCAGGCCAGCTAAGACTCACTGCTAGATACCAGGGAGACCCTTACCTTCTGGCTGTCACAGTACCTAACAGTTTTGATCAGTTTGTCTTTGCACGTGCACAGTGGTTTCCCTTTAGATACCCGTGCACATCTCCCAAAGACTTCAGTGGGTTGGTATGCATCTTAGAACAGAATCTGATCAATAATTTTAGTGTATATGCATGAGCTGTATCCTCATTTTATCTGCAAAGGAAGGTGTACAACTTGATCAGAGAAGTCTTTTTTTTATGTTCTTGGACCTTTAGGTTTCCTCTCTCCTCCCCTATTTTCATCACCAAAAGCCACCACCACAGTGAGGAATTGCTTGAAGCTCCTCGGTCACCTGGCAGCATGTATGTATGTGGTACAGCATGCAAGGCTGAGGCTCAGACCTTTCCAGGCCTGGCTGGCATCAGACTGTTGGCCAGGGCATGACAGTCTGGACAAGATGGTCACCCTCCTGGTGTCAGTTCTTGAATCGTTCCACTGGTGGCTCAATCCACAGAAGGTATGCGTGGGAGTCCCCTTCACCAAGCCCCAGCCCTCTCTGTCCCTGGTGACAGATGCATCAGCATTGGAGTGGGGTGCTCACTTGAGAGACCTTCAGACCTAAGGTCTCTGGTTGCAAGCTGAGCTCTCACTCCACATCAACTTCAAGAAGCTCAGAGTGGTCCACCTGGCACGCCAGACCTTCCAGGCGCACTTGCAAGGGAAACGAGCAGAGGTGATGATGGACAACACAACTGCAGTGTTTTATATGAACAAGCAGGGTGGAGCTCGTTCCTCTCCCCTGTGTCAGGAAGCCCTCAAGCTGTGGGACTTCCCTATAGCCCACTCAGTTCATAGCATCCAGGTTCTCAGAATGAGTTGGCGGACTATCTTAGCAGATCCTTTCATAACCACAAGTGGTCTATTCACCCGGACCTGGTGAACAGCATTTTCCAAAGGAATGGAGATCCCCGAATTGACCTGTTTGCCACGAAGAGCAACAGAAAATGCCTCCAGTTCTGTTCCTTCCAGAATCACAGTCCGGGCTCCCTCACAGATGGGTTCCTCCGCCCTTGGACAGACCACCTGTTGTACACATTCCCACCATTTCCACTTGTCAACAGGGTTCTGCTCAAGATCCACAGGGAAAGGGCTGCGGTCATTCTGGTAGCGTCAGCCTGGCCCTGCCAGCACTGGTAAATCACGCTCCTGGAGCTATCAGTGGACACCCCAATCTTGTTGCCCCTGCTTCTGGACCTGATCACCCAAGACCACTTCCATCATCCCAGCCTCAAGTTTCTTCAGCTCACCACTTGGAAGCTTCATGGTTAAACCCGACTGAGCTAATGTGCTCTGAGGCCGTTACGGAGGTCCTACTTGGCAGTAGGAAACCCTCCACCAGGGCCACCTACCTAGCCAAGTGGAAAAGATTCTCAATCTGGTGTTCTCAAGTTCACGCTCTCCCGATGCAGGCACCTATACCTCTTATCTTAGACTACCTACTACATTTGAAACACAGGGCCTCTCAGTATCATCTCTCATGGTCCATTTGGTGGCCATTTTGGCGTTCCATCCAGGAGCGGCTGGCTGTTCAGTCTTCGCCAACCCGATGGTCCCTCATTTTCTGAAGGGTCTTGACAGACTCTACCTGCAGGATAGACAACTGATCCCAACTTGGGACCTTAATCTGGTCCTGTCCAGACCTTTAGTGTCTTTACTGATTTCCAATTTTTGGCAGAAGGGAGAGAAATTATGTCCATGAAAAATGTTTGTGTATGGTGTGTGTGCATGCATGCATGTGTGTGCACGTGTAAATACATACACACACGCACACACCCCTAACGGTTTTGCCAAATGTCTGAGTTTGCTTGTATGTATAAAATTTACTGAACAGTTTTTCAGGGAAGGAAATTGTCAGAAGTGTTGGATTTTAGAAGCCATATTAATGGAGGTGCCAATTTCTTTCATTTCATTGCCCTTAATGTGGAGTCTAAGCAAATATGAACAGTCCTGAAGCGACCAAACAAAACTTGCAGCGTTTCAAGTGTTTTCTTTCCTTTTGGAGGGAGAAAGCGCACACCTAGGTAAGAAGTCACAAGGCTTCAGCTCGCCATTATTTCATAATCCTAAAGTACTAACATATTCAGTCTAGTGTTGGAGGACTGAACTACTCCATTTTATAGTCACTTTTTGACACACGCACAATACAAGCTATTCAGACAATTGAAGACATTGCTTAGGCTGTGTCTACACTGCGTATCTTACAGCAACACAGCTGTGCTGCTACAGCGGCGCCACTGTAAGGTCTCCCATGTAGCTGCTCTTTACTGGTAGGAGAGAGCTCTCCTGCCAGCGAAATGAACCTCCCCTTCCACACAAGGAGTAGCAGTATCTTTGTCGGCAGGAGAGCATCTCCACTGACAAAGCGTTGTCCACACCGGTGCTTTTCGTCAGTAAAACCTTTGCTGGTCGGGGGTGTGTTTTTTTTTTCACACCCCTGATGGACAAAATTGCAGTGTAGACATAACCTTAGTGTCTGTTGATCCCTAAGAGGCCTTCTTTGAAGGCTTAATAAATATACAGAAATGCTTCATAACAAACTATATCTGTTTTGGTCCACAAGGACACTTTATTTTCCTCATTTAAATGCCTCCTTAAAGGTCACCTCTGTCAGGACATCTACTAGTGACTAAAACAGAATGGTTGTATGATAATCTTCTTGTGTCAGGTTAGGTGCAACTGGCATCAACAGCAGTGGTTCTGCCCTGGCTTGAGGGCAGTGTTACCCTTGCAATCTACAAAACATTCTTTACCACTTCATAGCAAAGGCAGAGTAGTCATGTTTTAAATCTTATATGTCCTATAGTGTCTTGTTAAGATTATTCACTGGTTCATGTAACTGAAGTTTCAAGGTAGATGGCCAGACTCATGTATTCTAAAGTCAGTTTATACCACATTGCCTAACTAAGCACGGTGCCCGTGATGTACAGTGCACTTATGCAGTTCTCTGCCTGCATAGACTGTCTGTAATGCAGTCCATACCACTGTGCAGCACAGTGGGTAGCATGATGGAGAAAAGGGACATGGCTAGAAGGAAATGGGGTGGTTAGGTGGGTATTCCCAAAATTATGGGTATCCTCTTCATTAATCTGCTCATAAAGAGGACAGAAAACCACAGCATGAGTTAGAGCAGT